ATAAGATGGCAAGGTTACGATGATCCGCGAGAAGATACGCTGGAACGCGAAGCTCATATAACATGTTATCGTCCTATTGTAATGTATTGGCTATCGCTTTTTCCGCCTAGTCATAATTTCTTAGAAGAATTGCGAGGTATGCTCGGCTTAAGCAAGATCATAAAGTTCACAAGAGCCAAGTTTTCTAAAATTTACAACGAAAAGTTGATACAGAGCAAGCGATTTAAATTGGAGTTTTTTTTTTGAATGAAAGAAGAGCTCTTCGGTATCTGCCAGGCATGCGATTCTTCTTTGAAATAGCAGAGTTGCTTGAATGGGTGTTGATACAAACAGCACGTTATGATGAGGGTCGACGTTTGTCAAGTAGAGGGGGAGGGAAGGATGGGTGATTGAGAGAGGAGACAGGGTCATCTTTCCATTCGAAATATTCAAAGGGGGGTCGTATTTCGTTCCTGGAGTGGGAAGAGGTTTGGACCCAGGGGCCTGTGTCCACAGATCGCGGCGATATGGTAAGTTATAAGTGTATGGAAGCGGAAAACGCTAGGATAGGACGCGAATTTTGAAAAAAAATGAAGTAAAAGTTTTAACTCGAGTTGGACCGCTTCGTTTATCTCTCATAGATCGACGCGGCGAAACACGAGCGTTCAGATGCCGCAAGGATGATGGCGAGCGCTCCAAACTTATGCAGTCTAAATGTTACTGGCACACATCTATACTATAGGCTTAGTTTCGCATCATTACGTGACAAAGATGGGAATAGTTTGCTTCTCAAGTCATAGCAAGGAGAATAGACTTTCGAATACGCAGCTCCGGAATAATTTAGTATTTTTTTATGAATTGCATATTTTCAGCTCATCCCTGTTTTAATGAATTACCAATGAATGTACAGCTAACTATTGGAGCTCTTGTTGTCAACTTTCTTCAAGGAGCATCCCTTCGATTCATAGGAATGGACGACATCACTCCGAAAATGTTATACGTGGTAATGTAACGCATCCTGTGAATTTCTATAGTTCTAGGAATTTCTCATGGTGACTAGATCAATTACAGGATATTTTGAAAAAGTATCGCTGGTATTTCCTATTGAAAAGATATAAAAATGAAGAAGAAAAAAGACGTGATTTAGTAGAATTCAACAAAGAATTATATTCCTATGCGCTAAGCAATCAAGATTATCCCTTTGTCCAGGTTTGAGGCGTCCTTGAATTATCTGTTGCCAGATGCCAAGAGGGAATAACCTTTTTTTGTAGGCTGTCAACAATAGTGATATGTTCGGACCACCACGATACAGCGATCTGAATGCATTGTGTACGACTGGGGAACGGAGGAACGAGTTGGAAGTGAACACAGCGGTATAGTTGAAAAATTACCTGTTCTGGTTTTTTGCCTCTCATCACGCTTGGAATGGATTGTTATGATGCTAAGACGTTCACCTGTATGGAAAGCAATAATCGACACACGCGCTAGTCGTTCTGAGTGTGGAATAATTGGATCCAAACAACCTTGAATTCTTCTTATCAAGTTGAGGTGTTGAGTAGAAGAACTAAACGAGTCGAAACGTAGTAACTAAGTAACCGCTGGAGCTTACCATTGCGTGTGCAAGGTGATCGGTCGGATATCTAATACGCCCAATTCCAACAGCGTGAAAGGTGCGTGCAAGCTGAGAAAGGCATATTCCACGGTCAGACAACCCACAAAGAGCTCATCAGTTTCAATAACTCAGTTGCTTTGGAGGTTGGCCGCACTCAATACCCTTTAAGCACTGGCGTCAGAGCTCGTGATACCGTCGTGCGATTCGCGGAAAATCGCGTACGCTGACGCCAACGCTTCGTTTATGTCAATATAGCGCTATATGGCCTGGTAAGCACGAAGCTCAAGGTTAAATCGCAATGTTGCGGCGTGTTTCTGAGCATCTCTACCATGCACCTCGTGCGAATAGGCACTTTCAGTGCGAACTTGCGCAAACAAGCAGAGTTAGAAAAAGCAAAAATAAAGAGATCACGTGATCGTTTTTTTTATGCCATCTTCTACGTATTCACACGTTCCGCCCCTGCACTCGCTCTCAAAGTCCGAATATTATGAGAAGTTATTATTATTACAGGAAGACTCTTCGACGCTTACTTCATTTGCAAGTTCTGATGTTCTTCTCCTGGATGAGCTTCCTACGGTAAGACACTTGCAACGACAACATAAATTTCTGAGAAGATTGCAATCGGCCAGCTGATTTCGAAAATTAGCTGAGCCCGAAGCCAGCCTCAAGCTGAAAAGGAGCTAGTGTCAATTGGGTGGGTTCCCGGGAAACGGATGATGTCGCTCAATCATGTATTTCTGCGTAACGAAATCATTGATGAAGCCTAGGATTCAAGAGATAAGTGAGAGTAGCGCTGAGGCTGAATGTTTTGGAATTATCTCTTGTTATCATCACACATGCAGTCATCCCCTTGAAGACATGCCCGAAGATCACATAGGTGTGGCTGTGCTACACGAATGCGAATCCATTGGTGTGAAATGGGTCGACACTAAAGATAAAAGGAAACGAATACTTCGGAACTCACTTCGGTTGAGGCAGGGTGAATATCGGTCGAGGAAATCCTCGACAGGGGGGTCGTACCTGTTGGGCTGGTCCATGGGGGGTCGTACTCTTGGGGGTCAGTAACAGAAGTGGTATCATGGTGCAGATAGGTAAGAGGGTATAGCGCAGCAGAAAATGAAATATCTGAAAAAAACATGATATTAAATTTTCTTTGCAGGTTCAGTCGCTCCATTCCTCCACCTTCATGAGAAGGGCGTATTTGAAGGCAGTACAAAGAATGAAAGTGCATCCCCGCAAAGAAGACTGCCACATGTGCGCAAAGGCACCTCCTGCCTATCGCTCGCTCCTTCTCCCTTAATACCTCGCTGAGAATGACGCTGTTGTTAGGGACCCTGTCGGAAAAACGACAACCGTGAAGAAAAAGCGCTGGGCAAATGAAGTTGTTTTTTAGGTTACAGGAATAGCACAACACACTATGTCTACTACAATACAGTTTCGTTCGAAGGTCCCCATCATATAACACCTTTCAATCGATTCTGCAACTGTGAGTGGAGGAGGGATGCATGGCTTATACCAATACCAAATCGGATGATGACGATTGCTCCTATTCTTATTGTTTGCGTTCAAAGATATTGTTCTAGACACATTCCGAGTGTTGCCAACGAGTCACACTTGCAATGGTGAATGAGGGAGCGGATTTCCAGGTGGCCGGATCCGACCTCGATAGATCCTCGACGCAATTATCTCTTCAACCAAAAAGCTGTAGAAGAAAACTAAACAGACCATCAGGAAGCGCAAACCTTCCGCTTTCCAAAACTATCTTCCCTTTTTCAGGATCTTACAATATAAGAGATATATTGCTCTTGAAGTGGCAAAAACTCGCGTGAAAATTTCGGCCTCCTCGACATTTACTCGACGAAATTTGACAGACCCTATCTTTCTGCAAGGAAGGCTTCCAGAGCAATTTCGATGCTTGTTGGAAACGCGAAATCCAGCTCTATCTAACTCTACCTCAAGCTGCTTCAAAGGTTGTGAAATGGAGGAATGCAACCTTTTCATCGAGGGTGTAGATTCGGACGTTTTTTTTTTGAAATTTCGGCAAATCTGACCCAGTGACAATCGCGCCGCAGCTGCCGTTGAATCGGCCTTTGATACACTCGGCTGTTTTGATATACTCAAGCAAGAATCAAGATTGAATCGCAACCCCGTGTCTTCAGGATTTCTGTGCGTTTCTGAACGAACCTCGCCTTGAGGTCACACAAAGTTAATGCCTCTTTCCTCGAGTCGATATTTCAGTATGTACACAAAAGTATGCAGCGATGGAAGACGTGCATAGATGACAAGATGAAGCGTCCTTAGCATTATTTTGCAGAATTTTTTTTGATTTGTTTTGCAGGATTTATTTTTGAATTAATTTGCTCTGTTAGAGGGGGTCGTGCCAGGATCTCGATTTCGGGGGGGGGTCGTACCTCTGCGACCACGTACTCGACACGATTTTCACCCTGGTTGAGCAGGCTTCACTCACCTCACTAATCGGCTGTGGCTAAGGGAATGAGAGACTAAGCGCGGAGAGGAGAGTATGAGGCGAGAGAGCGCTACAGATGAGAGAGCGCCAGACAACAGTCTGACAAGAGAAAAAAACTGCAGCTTCAGCAGCTTACTTTGCCCGCCCTTGTCGGTTGGTTCCTTGGACGGGAACTCCTCATATGTTGTTGTCCTCAGGATCCGTATGCGACCGAAGGAAGCGTTCACACAGTTCCTGCCTGGGTGGCGTCTTTAAGTCCGCCTAATGAAGTCATACATCGCTCGCAATCTTTTTTACTCGAAGAGAATACAAAAACGAATAAATAGCTGATATCTAGAATAGAAAAACCTCTCCCCCATCTGCAGAGAGATCTAGGCTAACTTCGTCATGGCATCGAATTTTCGCAGTTCACATTCATGCGTTCCTTTTGCGAATTATTCGATTCTGCGAGACCACATCTATGATACGCCTAACTCCCACGCTGCCATTTCCTTTTGTTCATTATAATTGGTCGGCACTTAAGCAAGCTTCTCCCGCTGCTTTCGCGACTCGACGGTGATGGATCATATGTTACTCAGAGTTTATGAAGCCTAAAAGTTTCTTTAGGTCCTCATTTTTCGATGATCAGGCATGAAATCATCAGGTTCACCTGTGTGGAAAATATTTGTAATTCGTCAGGGAACGTTTTTCAGGAGGTAGATGACATGGTGGAAGGTCGCAGTGATGAACGATGTGTCGGAAATGCTAATTTTGCAGCGTCTGAACCAAACTGTAAGTACGAGTTTTATGTGTATTGTGGAATTCTTGACCAATTTCAATATAGAATTAACTTCCATCTATTTGAAAAAAGCATACAAATTCTAACAGAACTAGCTAAACTGGGTCGCAATGAGGGTGTGTGCAGAGTGGACCAACATTTGCCGCCGGCGCGTTTAGCAAAGATCAGAATCCTAATTGACTTCCACCTTGGTTGGTTAATTAGCACTAGCAGTTGCGGAGGTCAAAACTTATTCAAATACTGTGTTCTCTTAATAAATAGAATTGATAATGTATTAGGTAGAATGCGTGACATATCAAGAAACGGGCAGATCAGCAAGTGTTTCATTCTTTTATCTTTCAAAGTTTTCCAATTCACCTTACACTTCCAGTTTTTCAGGCAATGAGTATGATGTTCTCAATTTTCTAAGGTACGTCTTCAACTTCTCTTTTTTTAAAGATTGCTTTGAAATTCCTTTTGATTTATATTTGTCAGACAGTGTGTTGCGGAAACCAATGCCAGCAATTTGGAGGGTTGCAAAGATCGCTGCTACAGCAGCTTGGAACTCGAGCCCGATGTAACATTAGAATGTAAAGGGGTGAGCAGATTCAAGTTTTTGTTGCTTTCCCTGGTCTTTTAAAAGAAACGTCATTCTGTACCTGGGAGATTACTAGCGATCCTGCATGCGCAGCAAAACCTTTTGTGAGGTTGTGTCTGCTCTGTAGCAGGTCCTATTCAAAACCTCAGGCTCAAATTCCATGGTCGATCTTCTTTGAACCTGGGCATTTCGAATACTGTGTTATTTCCTTCTATGTTATGGTGGTACGGAAGAAAATAACCACACGTATTCGACAAACAACACCTGTACGGCACAGAAAAAATAACCAATCAAACTTGAATTTTCAGTCGCAGACTGAAGGAGAGGATGCGACATCAGAGACACGAAGCATAATGTGAGTTTTCTTGCTGGTGAAATGTCCTACTTAGAAAATATCAGCATTTTTCAACAACATCTCACAAAGAGGAAATTCTGAACTACCAGTGGGACTTCCAGAGGGGACGTCTTTTAGGCGGTGTATGGTAAAACAATTTCGTGGGCGTGCGTCACCCAAAGTGTGTGAACTTTCCTATGCAAACCAAAATTGTGTGGAGTTCGTTACAAAGACTCATACTCGCTGCCAAACTTTTGAGAATCGGAAAGAGTAGATAGAGTCTAGCAAAGGAGTGAAGGTCACCGGTACCGGCGGGCCGTAGCGCACACCTAAATGGGCGGAGTTTGCTAAAGGTACTTCAATAATTCGTCGCCAAGAAGTCTGAAGACCGAGAAACAGCGCGGTGTTTGGCAGCCGAATGTATCCACACAATTGGTTCGAAGAAGTTTCGGACACGGGAAGAAGTGGTAGGGTAACGACAGCACGGCACGTATGTGGTGGGCGCGGCACTGCGCTGAATTCAAACGGAAGTTTGGCCAACGGAAACAATTATAGTTAAGTTCCACAAGGCGCAAGGTCGGGCCCATGTGGATAATGTGTTAGGCCGAACGCAAGAAGGTCAAACTCTATTCGGTGGTGCCGATCGAGGGGGCGGGTTGCCACGAAGCCTCGCGAAAAATAGGATGACCCTTTTAGACCGTTGCGGTCCCGTGTCATGCGTGCGCAGCCAAGCTGGTGGTAAATATGCAGTAGCGGTCCATAAATTGGAAACTTTTTCATTTTTGATCGTGCGTGGCCAATAAACAGCAAAGTTTCCCCCAATTCCCATATTCTATGCCAGATTCAATCGTAGGAATACTTGTGTGTACGACATGATTTGCTAAAATCAAATATCATCTTGAAAAATGCGAATGTGTTCAAGGAATGGCGCACGCGTCAAATGGTGTGAAGCTTCTCCCATCCCTGCCATGAACTTATAAGTTCTACAAAAATTTTAACACCTGCTACTTTTCAGTTGCAACCATCACAGTAGTTTCAGATGGTCTTCAATGTGTTAATGAAACATCTCCCTAGGAGGAGTCTCAACTTTTTTTCAAAAAACGAATAAAATAGACACCACAGATTCCCTGCGCTTCACGAATTTTGGATGCTCTATAACTTAAAAAAATTTAACTTCCCAAATATGGTATGTGGAAAACTACATTGCTCATCGTATTCCAAACTTGATTATGAGCATAATTTGTGAACATGAGGCAATTTGGTTGGTTATTGGTGCGCTAGATTAGAAACAAAAAAATTCCAACTTTTTCCAACCGCTACTCTGTGCTGGATGGTTGTGGAAATAGTGCTTGACTCACATTCTTCCAGATATGAAAGTAATAGAAAATGTTGAGCATTCTTTCTTTTTGAACTCATTGTAAGCTAAACTTTTCAGAACTAATGCTGCTGATATGAGTGACAGTCTCCTTTCTGGACGTGTTCAGCTTAATCTTGTCAGAGATTCGTTTATTTGGCAGCTGACAGCTGGACAACCTATTCCCAAAGACACCATAATCATGCCACTCTACGGGCAGGTGTGGAAAATTCTGAGTTAATTTTTGTTCTCTTTTAATTCTATAGTTGCTACCTTAAGATCTCATTCAGCCAGAAAGTCTAAGTAAACTTCTGCTTTCTTCAGACCAACAAGTGTTACATATCGTATTTTGTTTAGTGTTTCATTTTATTGAAATGCAATTTAATGTTCCTGCACAGTTGGATTTATTTTGACGGTCGTTGACCAGTCAGTGGCCAGAGAATCTTTGTTCACTGAAACCGAAGCAGTAACGTTTGCTTCGTTCATCGCCCTTCCAGAAGGCAAGTGCCTTGATCGACGTCTTGTCTGGGATCTTAGTAGATTTATCACCCACTCGGTACGTAGCATCAGACTTCATTGTTATATTAAGGATAGAAAATCATGGCGCCCGCCTTCTTCATTGGATATCGAAAATATCGTTCAATTTCTACATATAGATGAATATTGCCTGGTCCTGCATGCTTCAGCTGTCATGGCTATTTAGCTGTGAAGCTTCTCTTTTCCCGTTAACTCAAGCAAGAGTTGAAGGAATCGTTCGCGGAACTTCGTGCATTCTTTCCCAACATGAACACTTGAAGTTGTGATCCCTGGAGCAACGAAGAAATTCATGCAAGAAAAATAATTTTGTTGCAGTTACGTTTGGTCCACTAAAATACGTTTTGGCCCCGATTGTTAAAATAAGGCTTGTGGATCAGCGCTCTTATCATTAGCAATCAATCCTCCTTGTTATTATTGGAGACAATTTTTAATTTTTCACGCAAGAAGGATCCATTCCCGGAAGAGAAACAAACTTACGAAAACCACACTCTGGGGACGGTAGCAGGTAGGTTGGGCGGAGACAAGGGAACGCATGGAAAGAAATGCGCCTTCGGGCAGCCACGTACCAGGCGACGCATTAATCGGGTCAAAGCGTTCGAATTTGGAGAATTGGAATGACCGAAAGAATAGAATGCGGTAGAAAAAATGGTTCTCCACATAAGTGGAAAAGGCCAAAAAGACTTCCTAGTGAGGCACTCCGAGAACCAAGTGGAATGGTTTCCGCTGCCACCATAAGTGACAGATGCGTGGTCGCGTAGCAGTCCTTCCGATTTTTCAAATTGTTTACCGAACTAAACCCATTTTTTTGTTCTTCTCGTTCTTATCGTGAATGATGGGTTCAAAGCCAGTGATTTATGGGTGACATCGAATCCTGGTTATCCCGTGGACGATTCCTCTGAAGATTGTGTATGGATGGATTTTGTATATTTAATCCTTCTCTTACTTCTTGACGTTTGCAGCGATACTTTTTTCCAGTGCGACCCGAACTGTGGCGTGAAACCCGCAGGAGTACGTAACAAACAGTTCTTTATCTACTCTAAACTGGATATTGAACCGGATGACGTCATTACTGTAGATATGTACCGTATGTTCGTCAAACCCGGTAAAAAATGTAAGTATTGCTGACCTATGGATGTAGCTTGCGTCTACTGTTCGTTGTGCCAGAAAGAGTAGAAGGGGTTATATTTTCTGGATTTTGAAGGGTGAAATTATTATTGACGAAGTGGCACCGTATTTCGGAGGGCATGGGAGTAGAAAATCCCATTGAAAGCAGGAAAGGTTCGCAGAACTCGCAGAGATTTCGCAACTTTCTGTGATAAAATGTATTTGATCCAGGTTTATGTTATGTAATCTTATTTTAAAGGCACTTCTCGCGATAAGATGGTACTGTAGAAATATGAATGTAGAGGTGCCATATGGTGAGCCTGTAAAACAAAAACGACTATCGAAACGGTCAAAAACGCGAGAAACGGAACCCTGATATATGAAATTTCTTCGCGATTATTGTCTTTAAAGGACGAATTACGCTGGAAAGGCAACATTTCTTAAAGCGAGGGATTACGATAAGTTTGGACTGGGTTCATAGTGGAAGTGGAGATGCTGAATAATGCCCCAGTGGCGAAAAAAGCAAAGAAATCCGTCAAGAAGGCGCAAAATGGGACCCCTTTCTTTGCCCGACCTCCGATAATGGACGAGCTAGCAACCAATTAGGAGGTCGTTTGCACATGTTATGCTGATAGCCTCTATCATTTCAGCAAGCATCATGCTTTGATTGATCACGCATCCCATGAAAAGTTATAGGATACACTCTGGAAGTGGAATATCTCGTCACATTGGCAATCGAAGGGCGCTGCTGCTGGGGGCGGAGCACAGACCGTGGCGGGGCTCAGAAAGGAATGGCAAGCCTTGTACGCTGCAACTAGCGCACCTTTGACCACAAAAACGCAACATTTCGTTTCCTTGGGCCCCTGACTACTGCTTCCAATGGTGCATGTACTTCCACGCTGCATACGCACTTTATCGTAATCTCTCGCTTTAAGTTAGCGATGGTGAGTGGTACACGAAAGAAGAGAAAACCATGAGAAACGGCCCAGAACCCGAGAAATGGGACCCCTTCCTTGCCCGTTGATTTGAGCATTGATGCGACTATCATCGCTGTGCCCTCTTCAACGCTACGCTCTCTCACCTATCTAATCACTCACCACGTATAGACCTGCGGCGAGTGATCAGATGATCGGTGGGCGTGCACTGACCAGCCGCGGCGGGATTGAACCTTAATAGGTCGCCCTAATAACAACGAGGTTAACTCCTCCTGTGCAAATTGTGCTTCAGTTCGCACACTTAGGAGCTCCGCGGGTCCCTCAACCAGGTGAATTCTTCCTAATTCGATTTTCCCTCTGATTGTGAATTCGTCCTTTAAATGCACTCGCTATGCCATCCCCGACCGAGCCTTTTTGGGAAGGGAATAGTCGTGGAAATTTTGTGTTTGGCTCAGCGCAACGAATGGACCTATTAAGAATTTTTCAAAGCCAAGTATTCGAGATGTGTTTTTACAATTTCAGATACATTCGATGATCATCTGCGCTTAGTCCGCGAAAAAAATTCGATCACGTTCTTTGTAACTGTGGAACGAAAGCCTGCCGCCACATCTTTGGGAGGAAACTCTCCCGGATGGACCAATTCCACTCAGCAAATTGGAACGGATGACCCTCGTAAGTCCTGTACTGTTACTGGCTTTTCTTGGTTTCATCCATCATCCTCGCTTCGAGTCGATACCATCCATACGCTTTGGGCTCTTTGGTAGTAATCCCATGAACCAGTTCAGTCATAGTGCATTGATCGATAGCGGCTTTACGTGAATGGGCTGTGAATCATAGAAACAGATAATCCCCAAAGCACGCGAGGTGATCGGTTCGACAATTATGGAAGACAGCAGGAACCAGTGACAAGGAAGGCGTATCAAATCATAAGTTTCAGTCAAATACTCCACTTTTAGGCCGATGTCAGACTTGGCGAATCACGCGATTCGCTAGCATCCGCGGTCGCGTTGCGGTACCAGCCAATTGAGTGATTCACTGGCCGCGACGCGTCCGCAGACGCTACGCGAATCGCACGCCTTCGCAAATGTCTGACATCGGCCTGAGCGACACATTATCCAAGTTATACTTTTTACTGATATTCTCGACTTAGCTGCATTGATTATTCATAAGTTTTTCTTTGAAGGTAAAGGATATGGACCACTTCGGAGGGATGGTTTTGCACCGAACAAGAAGGAAGAAATCTTCAACGAAAAACTAAAATGTGTAGCTTTTTAATTATCGTAGTTTTCATTTCTTATGAAGGATCGAGTCAGAACGCAGACTGTATCGCGGATGGACTCGGGATTTCGGATACAGTGGTGCGTCAATGTCGTTACACGCGGCAATCTTTGCAATAAATGGAGGGTAAATAAAACCCTGTTTCATCTAACAACGCGACAAGAGCGCCGGCCAACTGAACCTCCAACGAGCTAGTCGTCTAGCAGCTTTTCATAATCCGCGCGCTAGGCATATAGCCTGTTTTATAGCGGTCACAAAGCTCCACGACTTTACAGGAAATGCAGAATTCTGGATATGATCCACCTAGTTTCAGTTGTCATTATAATGTACTAAAATCTCAAGAATTTGTATCTATCACTGAAGAGAACAGCTCTCAAATGGTATATCTCGCAAAAAATAGAGGAAAAACTTTTTTCTTTTTTTTAGCCAGCAGAACTTTTTTTTTTGAATGTCCTAACTATCTCCTTCCATTTGATTATTTCTAATCGATAAAATTACTTTTTGCGCGGCAGTCTAACAAAGCTATTTTTCCTTCCAATATGAGAAATGTATTTTATTCTCCAATGATCGTGTAATACTTGCGCAGTGAAGCATTACTGCCTTATTATTTGTTGTTTTTGTACTTATGCAAAATATTGCCAGATATCTCAGGAGTTATCTACAGCAATTGTTTATTTACCTCTGTTGATCGCATTTGTTACTTAGCATTGTTTTTGTTGAATAAAATTATAAAAACATAGTTTCACGAGTTTGACTACTTGACAACATCTAGTATCACGTTCTTTTATTTGAAGATTTGGTCCCACGCCGCAAGCGCCGGAACCTCCCTACCTTGCGTAAGCTTTCCCTTCTCCCTCCTCTACTCACCCCTCGTTCTCCTCTGCTCGCCGGCTACCACAGCATCACCTTGTGGAATGACCGAAAGTGTGCTAAGTGCGTGTTTATATAGCCGTTCTGGGTTATCACAATCATGCTTGTGCAAAACATTGATAGCGCAAATCCTGCGAGCTACCCAGATTTGTTGGCGGCTTGTTTATTCCGTTAGCTGCCTTATCACTCACTCACATTTTTGCGGACGGACACACATACACACACACACACACACACACACACACACACACACACACACACACACACACACACACACACACACACACACACACACACACACACACACACACACACACACACACACACACACACACACACACACACACACACACACACACACCACACACACACACCACACACACACACCACACACACACACCACACACACACCCCACACACACACACACACACCCACACACACACACACACACACACACACACACACACAACACACACACACCACACACACACACACACCCACACACACACACACACACACACACACACACACACACACACACACACACACACACACACACACACACACACACACACACACACACACACACACACACACACACACACACACACACACACACACACACACACACACACACACACACACACACACACACACACACACACACACACACACACACACACACACACACACACACACACACACACACACACACACACACACACACACACACACACACACACACACACACACACACACACACACACACACACACACACACACACACACACACACACACACACACCACACACACACACACACACACACACACACACACACACACACACACACACACACACACACACACACACACACACACACACAACTAGCGCTTTATAAAATAGAAGAGAACTGATATCGTAAGATAAGTGAGCAAGTTGTGCTCACTCACAGCGCTTGCAGTTAGATGTGAAGTTCAGGATCGAGCTTTGCCAATGCCACCACACTCTCCTTCTTTCCTATGTCTGTTGATCGAGGCCAGACTCGTCTGGGAGAACTTAAGAACTGAAAAAGTACTATAACGTGTCCGTCAATAAGTCGCTGTGTGGGTCAAATCGCATTCCAAGGTCATTACGGCTCAGGAAAAAAGTGGAATGCGTGGCGCATCCTTGAAACCAACGTCACCAACGCTTATTGCTTCATCTTTTATCACTCTACCAGTTGGCTGCGCACACACATTCGCGTGCATCCCACAGGACTGCAGTGGTATAAAACAGGCCATCGATATTTTTGAACCGTCCTGACAAACTCCGCCCACGGAAAGCAGGTGATTTCCCTTTCTCTGCTAGACTCTCTACGACCTCGCTTATGCTTTCGCTCATCGACTCTCCCACCAACTCGCTTTTGGCTAATCTCGCGGGTCTCTCCTGAATCGAATTATATAGTTGGTAAGCAATCCCGCCCCTCTGTGCACACCACGCCCACCACCAACCTTCTAACTTCCCTTCGCTGACTCATATCCACTTTTTCCAGGTTCTAGGGCTTCCCTGAACCGACTTACGAAAATTTGTAATAAACCCACTTAACGACACGCTCCGCCCACTAGGGTTGGGGTTTCGCCTGATTCAGGTATGCTGGGGACACTTCTTCATTGGAAATATTGCTCTACTCAGTAGACTTTTTCTTCTACTCAATAGGCTTCCTCCAAATAGACTCGTGAGTTTTTTATTGAGCACCGCCCTTTTGGTGAGCGCCCCGTTCATTACGGGCGCCACATTTTTCTGCACTTCTATACCCATACCCCACCCATCCCAAAGTTGACCCGGACTCTGTTGGTGGGTCTTCAGGTAGTACCAAGTTTCGTGACAGAAGTACAAACAGGTAGTCAGACTTGACCATTATATTTACTAGGGATCGAAACCGTCGTATAACCCTAAAAATAAATTTTTGATAGACGTGACCTCACATAAACATGCTATGTATTTTCACCCTCCTGTTCTTCAGTACTTCTGCAGCTTGGGAGACATCCCTAATAGCATTCTTTTTTGCAGGAAAATTATAAAAATAAGTAAAGCATTTAACGTCACTCAATTCCTTCTTGTACCACAGATCCGACCTCCACTCGGAATCGTAGTGGCGTTTAAATATTATTTGGCCTATGCAGTAACGGGCGGGACCACTTCACGGTGTTCAGTATTTTCATCATCTCAGAAAATCTCTTACCAATTAGCCGACCCGGGAAAAGGTGTGAGGCGAACTGCGTCTGAGAATTGATTCTCGAGCCGTGAACCAAGTCCCAGACGCAATTCGCTCACTCGGTCAACTGTGACTATACCTCCCCCCCCCCCCCGCTGCATCCTTTGCTAATGTAATGGTTCAAAAACCCACTGATCAATGTGGCGACGGAGCCACCACCTCATACTGTTTGTGATGCCTTTCAGTCTAACCGTGATGTTCCATATATCGTAAGGTCACTGGTCATCAGAGCAAGACTTAAGGAAATGGCAGATGCATTTACCCATTCTGCGTGGCTGTGGCCTGTGCTTTTGTTTAGTTGAATTGCAATATGTATATGTAACGTCACTTATGGTTAGTTTCCAATAAGTGATTTCTGCCAACCGCCATCTTGAGAAAAGGATCTGTACAAGGACAAGGAAACGTTTTATTAGTTGCTAATGATCATGATGATCAACTATGAATAGTTTAAGCCGCTAAGAATTTGCCTTGCCTCCTCCACATATTCGCATTCTACCACACAATCTGGATCCCTTGACATATTCACCACCTTAACAGATTTTACTTTATTGTTTCCATGTACGAAAGAAAAGCATCACTTAACCTTGTTCAGGTAGTTTTGCGCATTTTCATAATCTCCCATTGCATCATAAGTTTTTCCTATGAAGAAGATGTTTTCGATTTCATCGGGTGATATTCTGTCAGCCTAAAAACGTTGGTAATCACATGTGCCAGTTCGTGAATGGCCTATGAGACTCAAAAAAATGGTGGGAGAGTTCAAAGTCACTAGGCTTTGAAAAATGTCGAGAGTCCAAGCAGTGGAAAAGAGCGGTGAAAGTACCGTAAGCACGTCGTGCGCGGCAATTTACGCAAATACTCCAGCTACCGTATCACCTCTACTACCGTACCCAGTGTAACTGGGGAAGGGATTAGAGTAGACCCCCCGAGGCTGCGGAAGCTCTCCGCGCGTGCGTTCTCCGCTTTCTACCCTTTTATTCGCGCTATGATGTTCCCGTTTGAGTGTGTACCGTAAGGTGAAGTTAGTTTCTTACAAAGCGCCGACAAATAATCAAAGCAGCAAAAATGTCGAATCCCGAAATCATTCGCCCGCGCAGCGGTCACTCGTGTGTTAGTAAACTATCCCAAGTGAATGGCACCTATTCTGTAATTTTGGATGAAGAGGTTATCATACTACCAGTTTAGCTCCGCACGCAACCGCGCGCATCAAATGGACGGGCTTCAGTGAAACTGGACAACTTCCAGAATGTTAGGTCACGTAACAGAGAAACTAACAGTAAATGTTTTGGAAGATGTGTCCCATGAAGTTCAAAGGTCGTCCAATTTCTCTGGAGGTTGTCGCGTAACGCGCGCAGTAGCACGCGGAATGGAAATGTTACTTATCATGACTTCGAAAACATTTAGCATTGATGTCGAGCTCGGGCGATTTAGCGGTTTATAGAACTTCCACAATTGAAGAATCGGTGTGTAAGTGAAATATAACCAATCAATCAGCATCAACCGAGCTATGATGGAAATTGGAAATATGATTTTATTCGCTATTAGTCCAGGTCCAGATAGTTGAGCAGCTCAACTTTCTTTGCTTCTTTGGATGAAAGGATAGGAATGGAACATATTCACTTGCTAGGGGCCTGGTTTAGTTTAACTGAGTGCACGCTCAATTTCGCTACTTTTATCAGTACAGTTGCCGCTCATACCACTTTCTGTCACCCACATTCAATCCTCGCCACCTTGTTCCCGTCCCATTCCTTACACCACATGTGAAAGCCAAGGTTTCAATGTCACCGCGAGGGCAGCAACGAAACTGGTGGTATCCATACTTTTACGCCCCTTATCAGTTCTTATCAGTTGCTACCACATTCGTCCACTCAACTTCTTGGTCCCCGCCTCACCCCACATATCATATATGAGTGCAAACTTTCCACCATCAACGCGAACGGTGTAACGAAATTGGTGACATCAACATTTCGACGTCCGTTATCAGCTTCTATCAGTAGTTATCACTTCCCGCCACCCACTATCAGTGTTCACGCCCGGCCCCCTATATATCCTAGAAGTTTGAGCGCTCTGGGTCCAAAGGGAGTGAAGTTATGAATTTCCGGTCAGACACACACACACACACACACACACAACCGCTTAGCCGATTATATATAGTAGGATTTTATAAAGCGCTAACTTTGTGTGTCGGTTTGTGTATCTGTATGTGTGTGTGTGTATGTATGTATGTATGTGTGTCCGTCCGCAAAATGAAGTGAGTGAGAAGGAAGCTCATGGGATAAACAAACCGCTAACAAATCGGGTAGCTTACAGGATTTGAGATATCAATGTTTTGTAGCAGGATAGTTGTGATAACACTCTTAGGGCTATATAAACACCTGCTTAGCACACTTCCGTTCATTCCACATGGTGCTGCAGTGGCAGCTGGAGGGCAGTGGAGAGAGGAAGGGAGGATGAGGAAGGGAAGCGAAAAATCTACCGTCATATCATGATTGTGTCCCTTCTACTGTATGAAACACCATTGTGTTGCATACGCGTCACTTCCAGGAGGTGTTGGTGTCACAGGAGGAAGGGACCATAGCGGAGGATAGAAAGCTTGCGCAGGAAAGGAAGGTCCCGGCGGTTGACGGGGGACTAATCTGGTTATCATAAAATTCACTTGTGGTATGTGGTAAGATGGTCGTGTTTGAGGTTTTCGAGGAGTGTTGGCGACGGATGTCAAGGGTCTGTATTCTATTGGAAGTGGAGAGAGGGTCGTTCTGGCAGGTTTCCGAAGAAATTCTCGTGAAAAAGAGTCCCTGTCGGCGGTTCTAGATAGGAAGTTCGCGGTGGAGGTGAGTGTGTGAAGAGCGAACTTTTCACAATATCAAATACTGTAGAAATGAGGTGGGTCGTATTTGCTGGTAGCCTAACTCAGGTGTGGTTTTGGGGGATCGTATCTAGAGGGAATCGTGAAACTTCAATTCTTTCCAATGTCGTGGCTTTCGTAACTGATTCGTCATTGTCGTTCCCAACCCCAACGGATAAATAGTAACTGCCGCTTGAATGTCGCGCGTATTTTGCGCCGCGCGCGACATATGACGATCTTTTCCGATACTTCACGAAAACAATGGCAAGCTAACCGCCAAGAAGATCCTGCAATGCACGTTCGAGACTAGTATTTGGGAGACTTCCGAGAGCTCTCGCCAATGTTCTCTCTACAGCACCAAGCGTTGAAACCTGTAGTAAAAGATGGTGAATTTTCGTTTACATTTCTTTGAACTTTTTTTTACAAAGGCAAATGACAAGTGATAGCAGTAGTAGCTTTGTGAGTAATGCATCAAATTCAGGAGGAACAGTTCGGTAAATGTCCCACCCCTTTGAAGATTTGCCGAAAAGAGGTGAGTTAATGTTGCTCAAGCCTGCCCTATAATGCAACCTCACCTGATACTCGAATCGCCCCCTCATGTGGAGGACTTCTCATGTGAAGGAATTCATATGAGTCCGCACAGAGAGCGATAGCTTTGTCGAGGTATTGCTGAAGGAGAACTGCTTTTCAGAGATTTCTAGATACTGGTACTAATGTTGTCAATTTCACAAATAGAGTACCTGAAACTCGAATCCGAATTTCACTTTTTCCATCATCGCGCTATCCTCTGCGAGTTTACCGGTGGCGGAGCAGAGCACAGAAAGCACATCAGTGTCCGTAGGTTCTGTTTCATGTGCTTCTAGTGCGTAATCGTGAGCTAAAAACGAGGATTTTTCCAGAGCTCATTGGTTGTTCAACCAGATGTCTAGCAAACTGGTAGACGCAACGGCCACTTGTAGTCAAATTTAAGTTCGCTCGAACAATCCATTCTGTGAAGGGGTTGGCTGAGTCCAGAACCGCAGAGGTGGTGCCACTTTTGCGGTTTGGAAACGAATAGTTAGAGCGCCGGTGTACAACTGTTGCGAACACATTCGTCTGCGTCTCACCAGTCCCTATGCTCTGTCCTCACCGTGCCCTGTATTTGCACTTCTATGTACCTCCTTTTTAGCTTGCACTATCCACATGTAGGCAATTGCGAAATGGACTTCTAATGAATAATCCAAAATGAACCTTTTTGAAGCCACTGCAGTCGATTTTTGTCGACATCTTCGGTGCAGCCTTTATTATAGCAAGCCATAGCGGCACGGTATAGCCATCCCATTCTATCCACAGATGAAGAAGAGTTCTAAAGAAGCACTGAAGTCAGAATGAATGTAAGGTGTATTTAAAGCGAGGAACTACGATAAAGTGTGCAGCATGGAAGTAAATGCATCAGTGCAGGAAAAGTTAGAGCTAAAGGAAGAGAAATGTTTTTTTGTGTCTGAAGGTGGGCTTCCAACCTTCCCGTGCTTCGTCTCCCTTTACTTCGCCCCTGGTGTGTTGCCAATAGTAGTATCGTTTTTGCCATCTGAAAGGGTATTTCGCTTCTTGCGGCCGTAGTCTTTTACATTTCTGCAGAATGGGTTATCGATCATGGCATAGGATTTGTCGGCATGATAAAAGCTATCGGGACAGGGAAGCAAGGAGATTCAGAACAGCTGCTACGGTGACACTAAGACTGGCCAGAGGAAGGGGAGAAAAGAAATTGACTGACATCTTATACGATCCTTTGTCCTCCCTGAAGCTTAGTCTCAGGTACCGTGAGTGGCTCACTCACCTAAATGTCCCCCCCCCCTCCGACGACCTGAGCGTTCAAGGAGGTCCTGTTTTTCGTGTTCCTAACGGATGCTCCTGCTTTTTTGCGCTACTAGGCCCGATCAATTTCAAGGCATCCCTACTGTATTAGAAACCAACTCATCTTATCGCGTTCCCTCGCTTCAATCCTAAACCTAAACATTCGCAATAAGAAATTCACATGAGAATTCGATGAAGTGCCTTAGAGCTAGAACCGAAATAAAAGGGACTGGGCGTGTTGTGGGCGGTACAGGCGCTTCTTCCAATCGCATCAATGGTGTTATACCACATCACTTTTGTACTACTAGGATAAGAGAATGGGAGAATCCACGACAAGTCTCTGATGTTATGAACTGTCATAACAACGTGTGATAAGTCACGCTTGAGCCGAGTTAGTCGACACGCATCCATCCATCTATGGCTTGTTGTATCTCCTTTACCAGATTGGTCCCCGCCAAACCGCGGACCGCCATTCCCACTGCGACGTGGCCTTCTCCGCTATCCCATTCCTTTCTCCTCCTCCATTTCTTCACAGCGCCACAGCAGCACCTTGTGTGGAATGACGCGAAAGTGTCGGTATTGGGTCTCAGGACATCTGTCAACCGCGAGCCTTGGCGGTTCAGCGTTTTGTAGTGATGTCTGGGAGCTCTCACAAGTGCACACTATCACAGCATCTCCTCTTTCTTCATCTTCTTCAAAGGCTTAGTCCCAATAAGACACAAAGTGTGTGCTTTTCCAGCTACGCTCTCACCCTGGTTGACAGAAGCCTTGACCTGTGCTATGTGGGTGTTTATATAGTCGCTGGTGCTATCACAATAATGCATTGACCAAAACGATTGAGTAGGGCAAGCCCTGAAAGCCTATCAGATTTGATATTAGCGGCTGTACATTCCATATCGACTTATCAGCTGACGTCAGTGAAGGCGGACAAGACACGGCAAACCTAATACACACAAAGCGGCACATCAAGGTTGTGGTTTACATAATGAAGAGATTCCACTCGTTTATCTCTGAGTCCCCAGCCAGTTGTGGTTTCTCCAGATTCGTGGTTCTCCTTCTCCAAACGCTGACTGAATGGGTACGATTTGAACATGCATAATTACGCGGTGGAGGTAACTAATGAGGAACACGGGCGCTCATGTCCTTAGGGGGGACATTGGAGTGGGTGGGCCACTGATAAACCTCAGGACTGAGCTTCAGGGAAGGGAAAGAAATTGTGGGCAACCATTGTTCTCCCTTGTGTTTATTCCCAGTCCTGGGCTTAGTCGTAGTGTCACCTACCAGCGGTTTTTGAATGCCCTGTTCAGAATATCTCCCCTAAGGACATGAGCGCCATGATATCTTTGATAGGGTATTTTTTGTTGCGCCGCATGTCGCGGATGCGACGGTGGCCCGTGGGCGCACCGCGCGCCCCGGCCCATTCATGCTCGGAGGCCAATGCGCAATGCGCCGCGCAATGCGCCCATTGCGTCATTGGCTCCGCCCTCTACGGTCAGTGCCAGCGGGCAGTCGTCGTCTGTGCCTTGCGGCGAGCGGTGACCTGCCTTGCCTCGGACGTCCCCTATGTTCGCCTAGCTGTCAGGTGAGTGTATGACATGGCGTGGAGCCACCTAGCAGTTGAGGTGCTAATGTTGAAGTGTCTAATACGTGTCCCAATGCTGGTATCCAGGGGTTGGTCGGTGTTCACCGGGCAACGCGAGGAGGCCCCGGAAGGCGAGGAGGGATGTCCCCTCCGAGCTGGAAGGTTGCGGAGCGCCACCCGTTAACTGGTCGTGGTCCCTCCCCTGCTCCCCGTCTGGGAGCAGCCTGGTATCACGCCCCGTCTCGGACCCGCTGACCGTGCGGGCCCCCTAGAAGTGTAACATCCGAGCAAATGGGGGTTTAATACGTTAGCCAGCTGGTGAGGCACACCCATGAGTGAGGTGACTCAGGGAGTCTGACGAGCAATGGTATGTACTACGTATATAATACTACGTATATAATAAACGTATTAGTAAATATATGTGTTGTGTTTGTAATGTTGTGGTTTTACCCTAACTCTGTACGTGTAGCCGTGGGCATTTGTACTAAGGTTATGGGTCAGGACGCGTTGTGCCCAGCCAGTGTAGTTCCGCGTGTGCGGCCGGCTGGAAGTCCCCTTAGTCCCCGGGGGAAAGGTCCGCACCTCCTGTGAGGTGCGCAGGAGAGGCGTAGCTACAGATGGGAAGCCTTGGCGAGCTGCTGAGGTACTGGGAGGTTGCCCACCGCGTATGCGACATGGTGCATCGCGCCGTCGAACGAGCGGAGGGAGGAAGAGCCAAGTCTCGTACTCAGGAACCGGAACCCGCGCGGTCGGTATGCCATGATCGGGTGATGTATTGGGAAGCGCAGGCTGTGCGGGCGGGACTGTGAGGCGGGGGACAGGGCAGCACACTGACACCTTGCCGACCATGCGGACGATCCATCATGGTGGATAAATGGAGATACAACAAGCATAGATGGACGTTAGCTTGTGGAGTCGTTCGTCTGTGGCCCCTAAAGGGACGTAGGAGCATACTCCAAGGCTCTCTACAGCTCTGAGGCCACCGCCCCGACTCGTTGACTTGCTAAACATATCTCGGGCACGCTTGTGTTTATGACAGAGTTCATAGCGTGCAGAGATAACTTGCATCGTGGGGGAATTCTTCGACGATCTCTGTCGTCGGTGAGCTAGTAAGTACAAAAAAGGTGATTGGGGCTTTTTAGCTACGCCTCTGATGCGATTGGAAGAGCGTCGTTCGGTACAGCCACACGCTTGAGCCAATAAGGCAGACGCCAGACTCCCTTTATTTTTCGGCGCGTCTCAATAATTTCGGTTCCCTTCCATGCGAATTCCAGTGCTGGAATATTCTGCTGGTTGCGCGGAACCCTGGACGTTGGATCACGAGGTCATGTTGTAGAGCGCTTGTGCACCGGATGTGCAGAGCTTTATGCGATGACGTCCAGGGGAACCATAGATTTGATGTTTGGCGGTTCATACCGTAGTCTGTGACGCGAGCAGGGATGCATGAACTTACCGAATGATGCGCTTGTAGCGCAAAAAAGCAGGAGCATCCGTCAGGAGCACGCAAAACAGGACCTCCTTGAACGCTCAGGTCGTCGGAGGGGGGGGGGTTGTGAGGACTCTGTGTAGTGAGCGAGCATGGTGATGTGAGCATCGGACGGCAGTGGGACTAGCTTGCAGGAGGGAAAAGGATCCTAACGTGTGCAAGCCCTCCTGAAGTGATTACTCTCGAGCCAATTTTCGTTTCTCCTTCTTGGATAGCGCGACGTATGTGTTTGCTAGTGTTCGACTCTATGGTGCTAGCTGTGTGTCTTAGTTGTAATTTATACTGCTACTATTCCGATGACGGTAGTGCGTCTGTCCCCAGAAGATGGCTAAGAGGATTTTTGCGTTGGAAGCGTCTTCACTAGTCAAACGGGTATAGCTTTTATCAGTGCGACAAATCCGTTTGTGGACTCAATTGTGAATGAAGTGCTCACCCATTACTGCCTAAAAGGCGAAGCACTTGCTCGACCTCAGAAATCATAAATCCGTGTGGTAAAGATGACTGGCGCACAGGTGAGCCTTGCAAAGAATGGGTTCTCACACTGAATTAATACACTTGCAGATGGCCAAAAACGATACTACTATTCGGCAACACACAGGGGTCGAAGTTAAAGGGAGACGAAGCACTCGGGAAGGTTGGAAGCCCACCTTCAGACACAAAAAAACATTTCTCTTCCTTTAGCTCTAACTTTTCCTGCACTGATGCATTTACTTCCATGCTGCACACTTTATCGTAGTTCCTCGCTTTAAATACACCTTACATTCATTCTGACTTCAGTGCTTCTTTAGAACTCTTCTTCATCTGTGGATAGAATGGGATGGCTATACCGTGCCGCTATGGCTTGCTATAATAAAGGCTGCACCGAAGATGTCGACAAAAATCGACGAGTAGTGGTTGTACGATGTATCGGTCTCTCATAGAGTTTCATGTCGGATTATCATTGTGATAAGTATCTGATATGTTTCGCCATATTAATGGGGGTATCACTTGAGAAGTAGTTTTCTTCTTTATTTTCTCTGCATATTATCGCTCTTTATATAACCGTATCGCTACTATAGGAAAGAGCGTAGTGGCTCATACATCTATAGCGTGCACGGTGAGGAAGAGCATAGGTGACTGAGTGAGCGCAGTGTGGCATCGCGAAACTCAGCTCCTGCCTATTTCAGGTTTATAGTGTACAAAGCGACTCGCGTTGTATTGTTTATTCATCTACCGTTTTTCCAGATATCCTCTCGTCTTTATGACGGTTTTGGTATCACCGTACCTTTCCTGGTCGGTTTTGGACTCAGCAGTAGACATCCTTCATCGCAGACTGGATAGTGTCTCTCGTTTTCTGAACTTACATTTAGATCTCACAGTACGCTGTTATCTCTCCGTTGCGGGTGGCCATTCTCAACCGACCGTTGATAAGAGACTCATG